GGGKTKGKTWTGGGGTCATTCAGCCTCAGTTCAGGGTTGTTTTTGGGGTCATTCAGCCTCTTTCAGTGCGGGGTTGTTTTTGGGGTCATTCAGCCTCAGTACGGGGTTGGTTTGGGGTCATTATGGTGTCTCTCCCCTCAGGTACCGCAGTGGCATCCGGGGCCACATGAAGGCCGTGGTGATGGATCTGCTCCGGCAGTACCTCAAGGTGGAGACCCAGTTCCAGCACGGTGAGTCTGGCACCATCAAGGTTTGCATTTCTGCAGAGCTCCTGTTTGGCCCCAAAACGTGGAGCAGGTTTGCCCTGRCTTTGTGCTGAGGATGAGGCTGRTGTTGAARGCTCWGCCTGGGTTTGTAGAGGAGCTCCTRTCCCCAGCTCAGGCTGAAGCTGAGAGATGAAATCTCTCCCTTGCACTGCTGGATCCAGGCACAAGATGGCAATGAAGCCCTGGCTAATTCCAAAGCTCTGGCTCTTACAGGTAGTTCAGATTCAGCTCTCCTTTTGTCCTGCTCCATTACCTGCCCCAGCCTAATGGCACTGCAGATTCATTTCCACTTCAATTTGCTGGTAGCAGAGGATGGTGCAAGGCTTTTTGCTGTTATTTCATTTTGGTTGTCATTTGAATGGAAGTCTGAGCTCCCTGTTCCTCCCTCAGTATTGCTCACAAAGGAGGCATTTGGTGTTGGAGCTGTTTAATAGGAGTGGGATGTTTGAATTAAAGTTTGCAGTAGGTGATTTTGGGAATGCTTCTTTCCCAAATTGATTGTGTTGACCACAGAGAATTCCAGAATGGTCTGGGTTGGAAGGAAGCTGAAATCTCATCTTGTTCCCACCCCCACTGTGAGCAGGTGCCCCTTCCACTGTCCCAGGGTGCTCCTGGTTTTGGGCACTGCCAGGGATCCAGGGGCAGCCACAGCTGCTCTGGGCACCCTGTGCCAAGGGCTCCCCATGCTCACAGAGAGGAATTTGTTTCCAATATCCCATCTAACCCTGCTCCCTGTCAGTGGAAAGCCATTCCCCCTTGTCCTGGCACTCCATCCCTTGTGAACAGTCTCTCTTCATCTTCCTCCCATCGCTTCAGGTGCCAGGCCAGGGAGATTCTAAAAAAAATACATGTAGAAAAATAAAGACACACCTAGTAACTCATATTCCTCGCCACAGAGATGTGAAGACTGGAAAAGAAATGTGCATTTCTGCCTGCAGGTCACTATGACAAGTGTGTCTTCACCCTTCGTGAGGAGAACAAGAGCGACATGAACGCGGTGCTGAACTACATCTTCTCCCATGCCCAGGTCACCAAGAAGAACCTGCTGGTTACAATGCTCATTGTAAGTGTCTGCTGCTTTCTCTTTT